CCATATTGATTTCCAAAGTGGTTGTACAAGCTTGCATTCCCACCAGCAGTGGAGGAGAGTTCCCCAAGTTTCCCATCCTCTCCAGCATAAAGTGTCTTCAGTGTTTTTGATCTTAGCCATTCTGACAGGCGTAAGTTGGTATCTCAGAGTTGTTTTGATTTGCATTTCCCTGATGATTAGGGATGTTGAGCAATTCCTTAAATGCCTTTCAGCCATTTGAGTCTCCTCTGTTGAGAATTCTCTGTTTAGTTCTATAGCCCATTTAACTGGACTGTTGGTCTTTTTGATGTCTAATTTCTTGAGTTCCTTATATATTCTGGATATCAGTCCTCTGTCAAATGTGGGGTTGGTGAAGAACTTTTCCCATTCTGTAGGCTGTCGCTTTGCCTTTTTGACTGTATCCTTTGCTCTACAAAAGATTCTCAGTTTCAAGAGGTCCCATTGATTGATTGTTTCTCTCAGTGCCTGTGCTACTGGTGTTATATTTAGGAAGTGATCTCCCATGCTCATGGATAGGCAGGACCAACATAGTAAAAATGGCAATTTTACCAAAAGCAACCTACAGATTCAATGCAATCCTCATCAAAATACCAACACAATTCTTCACAGACCTGGAGAGAATAATACTCAACTTCATATGGAAAAACAAAAAACCCAGGATAGCCAAAAGAATCCTGTACAATAAAACAACCTCTGGAGACATCACAATCCCTGACTTCAAGCTCTACTATAGAGCTACAGTAATAAAAAACAGCTTGGTATTGGCATAAAAATTGACACATGGACCAATGGAATCGAATTGAAGACCCCGACATTAACCCACACACCTATGAACATATGATTTTTGACAAAGAAGCCAAAAGTGTACAATGGAAAAAAGAAAGCATCTTCAACAAATGGTGTTGGCATAACTGGATATCAACATGTAGAAGGCTGCAAATACATCCATGTCTGTCACCGTGCACAAAACTTAAGTCCAAGTGGATCAAGGACCTCAACATAAATCCAGCTACTCTGAACCTGCTAGAAGAGAAAGTAGGAAGTAGTCTTGAATGCATTGGCATAGGAGATCACTTCCTAATTATTTCAATTTTCTTCTATCTGTTGAGACTTGTTTTGTGTCCTAGCATGTGAACAGTTTTACATAACATCTCATGAGGTGCTAAGGAGAAGGGATATTCTTTTGTGTTTGCGTGAAATGTACTCTAATTATCTGTTAGGTCCATTTGGTTTGTAACATCATTTAGCTCCTGCATTTCTCTGTTTAATGTTTCTCAGGATGACCTGTCCATTGGTGAAAGTGGGTTACTAACCTCTCCCACCATCATTGTGTAAAGGTCAATATGTAACTTATGCTCTACTAGTATTTCTTTTTACAAACTTGAGGGCCCTTGAATTTGGTGTATAGATGTTAACAATTGAAATGTCCTCTTGGTGAAATGTAGATGTAACCAATCGTCTTATTAAAATAAGAAACACAGAGCCAATGTAAAAGAGAAAGCCGAGAGGTCAGAGCTCAGAGATAAAATCTTACCTCCTGCAGTGCTCCTAGCTTCCCCGAGAGAGCTACTTCCTGTTTG